TGGCAGGGTCGACCTACTAATCCGGGCCGACTGTAGAGTTAAGTCGGGCCTGTCCCCGTACAGGCCGATTTTGGACGAAAAATGTGAAACAAATAATTCAAAAAGACCCATAATACTCGGACATGGTCCAAAAACCGTCCCCTGACTACTTTTTGGACCATTTTTGCATGTTCCCTTTGTAGAGGGACAGGCCCGACTTAACTCTAGAGAAGGGACTGGTGAGCGCTTTCTCATCCAGCATTTCCGCATTGGGCGGAAAGGGGGGGGGACAGGGGGGGGGGTCTGGCTCCGGACCTCTGCTGAATGCGACCGTTCACAACAGTGCGCCCCATGGCGAAGGGGCCCCGCTTGCTCGAAACAGGCGCCAAAAACAGCCGAGATCTACTTCATGGGGGGGGAGATGGGGGAGCGCGGGCCCGCGCCGATCGGCAAAGCAATGAATCAGAAAAGGTCAACTGGGGCGACTTGCTCCAAAGCATCCAGTGAGTACCATGCGCTTCTCGAATCAGCGGTCCGCCCCACCCCATGGCCGGTTCCCGGCCTCCCTCCCTCCCCGGAGAAGGGCCAGCGGCGAGGTGCTCTTGCCGAGCGCGGGAACATCGGAGGCTCGCGTTCGAGACACGTCGAATGCGTAAAGCAGGCACGGACACCGGTAAGGATGCGTGATGGTGCAAGCGCTCCGCAGAGCGTGGCCGTGGGATTAGAGAGCGAGACCCCATCGCGCGCGCGCGCCCAGGATACACATCGGAACAGCGATACGTGCTCGTGGGCTCGGCGACATCGTGTCTCTCGCGCGCGCAAGCCACGTACAAACACACACACACACACACACACACACACCCGTCACTGAATACAGCTCGTGCCTGCTGTTCCAGGAGCAATGGATGGTCTAAATGCCATGCTTCTGTGGAACTGGCCCGAGCTGCGTGGTTCCGACGCCGGGCCGCGGGAATTCGGCTTGGGCGCTGGGCGTGGCGTGCATGGTGTCAGGACGTGTGCTTCCAGAGCAGAGGCCCTCTCTGGCATTGCGCTGCTCTCCGTTACTTCCGGGTAGATGGAGAGGGCAGGCGTGGCAGAAATTACACCCTGCACCCTTGGAGCACTTCCCGTTCCTGCGCACGGGGTACTTGCACGGTGTGCAGCATTTGTTCTGGCCAGCAAACGTGCCAAACTGTGACGTCATGCACTCTGGTCTGCAGTCCGGGCACTTCACGTATGGCCCGCGCAGCCCGAGCGGCGTCTCGGAGGTCGAGCACCAGCCGTGGGCACGGGCATTCAGATCCTGGAAATAGGCCGGCACGACATCGCAGTACATGTTTCCACAGAACGTGTGCCCACAAGAGTACTGCACTTCATGCTCCCCACAGCTCGGGCACTTCGCATGCCCGTCCACCGGCTGCGCCAGCTGGACGCCTCGCCGAGTCCCCGTGGCGGCCATGGCGGGCCGCGTTATCACCGGAGTGCAGCGCGAGGAGGTAGCGTTGCGCGGGCGGCTGCCTCTCGGCACGTGCGAGGAGGCTTGAGCTGAAATGGATACGGGTGCCTTGCGTGCCATTGTTGTTGCCGCCGGCTACTTTTAGGTCGGGAATGTCCTCCCAAAGGCGGCCTTCGGACGAAACAATTAAACACCACCTCAAGTCATGCACAGTAGCCAACCGTAGTCGAGAAGTCGTCCGCTATGTTTGAACACTCCTCCCTCCTGTGGACGGACATGCCCGACTGAAAGCTACTTGGAAAACACAATTCCCATTGCCCAACTCGTCTCCACGACGGCCAACATGGCCTCCAATGCGGCGACGGTGGCCCAAGGTGACCTCCACGCTCCCAAGACGCCCCTAAGATCGCCAACCACAGAGGCCCCCAAGACGAACCAAGATGGCTCCAAGAGGACCTCCAGGAGGCCAACACCGTAGGTTTCTCTCTGGCGTTTCGATGGTGTTCTCGTTCTCGCCGTGTCGGGCTTCCAACGATGCACGACGGTCCAAGCTGAGGCCCACAAGATCGCCCCAAGACAGCCAAATATGCCCTCAAGAGGGCCCCAGACGGCCCAAGAGGCACCTAAGAGGGCCCCATGGACCTACACGATGGACCTACACGATGGGTCCACGACTGCCCAAAGAGGGCTCAAAACTGCCTCCGAGGGCCCACGGGTCCCTTCGAGGCTCTCAGAGGCCCCCACGGGGCACTGGTGGCCCCTCAGAGGCCCCGAGGAGGCTGGCAAGAAGCCCCAAGGAAGCCCCGAGACAGCCTCATCCTCCTTTCTCTTTCTCTATTTTTCCCCAGTGGGTTCCGCAGCGGCTGGGGAAAAACATAGTCCACTAGCTGGGCCAAACTTCGGCCCAACGCTTGGCCGCGTGGGCGTTTCCAAAGCGCAGGGGGCGGTGATTCACCGTAGGCGTCTTCGATACTGGAAAGGAAACCTTCAGGCAACCCCTTGCAATGACAGCTGGCATGCGCGCTGCGTCACGACGCTCGATGCTGTGTGCCACTCCGCCAGACTCCCAGGGAGCGGACGGTAACTATTGCGCCGCCGACGCCCTCCATATAGGGATATGCTACACACGAATCGGCAGATCGGGCAAAAACATCGATTAGTTATACGAACTAACATCACATGAATAATCATGTGGCTGTACACACAATTGTGCATCCGCCACTGTGCGCCGAGGCACGAGTCGGTGTGTATCTCGTGAACCTCCGCCCTGAATTTTCCTTCAGGGGCCAGGAAGCTGAACTCCCAAACCTCCTGGGCTTTGGCGCATGCCCCACTAGGCCCCGGGGCGTCTCGTCGCACGAGCTGCTCGGTGCCCAGGGAGGCTCTGACATGGGACATGGGGCAGGAGGGGGGGCAGGGGGGGAGGGGAGCAGAAGGAGGGGGAGGAGGGGGAGGAGGCCCCCGATTTTTATTTGTGGAGCACGCACAGATCCGAGCACACCGGCGACCGCCTCGCAGGCCAGGGCGCCGCGGAGCCGCCGGCCGTCCGGCAGGGCCGCGCCCACCCGCCGGGCTGCGCGGCGCCACCTGCCCACACGGCGGCCCGCCGCCGGCTGCCCGCAGGTGCCTGCGCGGCGGGCCTCGGACCCCGCGCCCAGAGCCGGGGAGCGCAGCGCCTCTCCGCCCAGCGACGCCTGCAGGAGCGGTGTCGGAAGCGGGCGCGCGGTGCAGCTCGGGTCGGCGGCCTGCGCCCGGAGGCCGCGCGAGCCGCTGGCTCTTGCCGCGGGCTGCCGCGCCGCCATCGCTCCCGAGCAGCACTGCGTGGAGTGTTCCGGCGGCAACCTGGGTATAGCTCAGGTCGGAGGCCAGCGCAGGGAGGTCGCAGGCAGCGTGGTGGCTCCAACCGCAGGCCGCGGCGCTGCCACCGCTCCTGAGGAGCGCTGTGCTGCCCTGTCCGGCGGCAGCCTGGGTGTAGCCCAGGACGGCGACCAGCGCAGGGAAGTCGCACTGGCCCTCACCGTTCCAGCCGCGTGCCACGGCGCTGCTGTCGCTCTGGAGCAGCACCATGTGGACCCCTCTGGCGGCAGTCTGGGTGCAGCTCAGGTCGGCGACCAGCGCAGGAAGGTCGCACGGAGCGAGGTGGCTCCGGCCGCGGGCCGCGGCGCTGCCATCTGCCGTCGCTCCTGCGCAGCACTGCGTGGCCCGCTGCCGCGGGCTGCTGGGGCGTAGCCCAGGTTGGCGACCAGCGCACGAGGAGGCACCGGCCCTCCTCCTTCTGGTCGCGGGCAGGGCGCTGCCACCGCTCCTGAGCAGCAATCCGTGGACCCCTCCGCAGGGGAGAGCATCGGCGAGAGTCTGGAGCGGGGGCTGCCACTCGACGGCAAAGCGGCGGGCGCGCGCGCGTTCGCAGCGACGGGGGCCGCTCGAGCCCGGAGGGCGGCCTTGAGCCAAAATGCCTACGGAGAAGAAAAGTTTGCCCCAAGAGGCGTCCAAGACGGTCCAAGAGGGCTCCGAATCGCCAGACGATCGGCTCAAGACTCCCAAGATGGCCTCCAGACGGACAAAAACACGCCCAAGACGGCCTAAGAAGCCCCAAGGCCGCCCCAAGACGGCCCAAGAGGGGGCCCCGAGACACCCCAAAAAGCCTCAAGACGGCCCCGAGAGAGGCCCAAGAGTGGATGCTCGAATCGACAATTCAAGCATTCCGTTCCAAGATGCCCCATGAGGAATTGGCACCAAGAAGCCTTCAAGAGGCCCCGAGAGGCCCCCAAGAGGCCCCCAAGGCGCCACAAGATGCCCCCAAACCGCCCCCAAAGGCATCAAAACTGCCTCCACGAGCCCCCCGAGCTGCCTCCCAGGACATCCCAACGAACATCCCAGAGGCCTCCGACCCAACCCAGGCACGGCGGCGGGCTGGGCCGAAGGTCAAACTATTTTAAGCATGCATACATGCATACATATATATGTAGAGAGAGAGAGAGAGAGAGAGAGAAAAAAAAAAAAACAAAAAAAAGAAAGAGAGAGAGAGAGAGGCGCCCGCCCGCGCCCTGTCTCCCCAATTAGTACTTGGCGCGGCCCGCCTAGCTCTTAACCGGAAGAGGCTCGCTCTCGACCCGCATGCAGACCAAACATGTACAGAGAGAGAGAGGGAGAGAGATACAGAAAGAAACAAAGAGGAGAACAACCAAAAGGTTTGACAGAGAGTGCGCAAGAGGAACTCACACACACAACACCACACACACACACACGTGCTTCAGGGGGGCGTAAGACCCGGGTACAGGGGACTCGGAAATCCTCGACGAGGTCGTCCAAAAAACGACGAGGCCGAGCCTGCATTCTGACAAGGCCTCCTCGCTGCAGACGTCCCACGAAACTCCTCCTCGTCAAAAAATCCGAGGCGCGGTCGTCAACAAAACGATGGCGAACCCGAGCCCTGGCAGACCCGCGTCTTACGCTCCCCCGAGAGTGCTGCGCACGCGACCGCAAACCAAAAAAGCCCGCATGCCGCCGTGGGAGAGCCGCAGCCTGCCCCGGCACCCCCGCGCGCGCGCGGCAGTCGGGGCGCCTCCACGCGCTGCACCCTGGCCTCGCAGCGCTCGCGCTGGCGCCGCGCACACCTCCGCCCGCGCGCGGCCCGCCCAGCGCCGGCCCCTGTGTAAGTTGGGGGCCCCGTCACCGTGTGGTGACAGACCCGGCGGTGCCCTCGAAGTCCCCAAAGACCTCAGCGCAGGGTCCGTCAGACCACCCGGTTTTGGGACTCCCTGGAGGCCCCGGTGGCCCGAGGCATCCTCCCAGCGCGGCCCGAGTCCCAAAACCGTGCGCGGTGGCCCCGGAGCCCCGCCGACTCACCACACGGTGCGGTCACCAAGCCGTTTGGGGGTGATGAGGTTGGGTGCTCATTCCAAAGCTCTTCGACCGGGGCGCGGCCCACGAGAGCGACGGAGGATGGGCCGAGGAGGCAAGGATGGAAGGGGACCCTCAGGAAAATTGTCCTTCCTGTGGGGGTCGACTGTGCTCTGCCCTCCCCCTCCACCTCCCCCCCCCACCCCTGACGATCCTCTCGCCTCCGTTCGAGGATATTCTGACCCAGGTCAATCCAGACCCGGGTCAGTCAGGCCTTGCAGAATCCTGCAAGATCCTGCAAGGTCCTGCACCCAAACCCGGGTCAACGCGAAGGATCCTGCAAGATCCTGCAGGATCCTGCACCCAAGCCCGGGTCAATGCGACCCTGGCGCCGCAGGATCCTGCAAGATCCGGCGCTCTGGCTGACCCCCGTTTGCATTGACCCCCGTCTCGAGGCTCCCGATCCGTCCCTTGCCCCCTCCCCCCGGCCCTTAGGAGGCAACTACTGGGAGGTTTTCGTCGGAAGGATTAAGGAGGATTAAGCCCCATTGGGGGGCTCTTACGCAAGAGTGGGCCTCGGATTAAGCGGGATTAAGCCGGATTAAGCGGGATTCATCCGGATTAAGCGGGATTAAGCGGGATTAAGCCGGAGTTCGGACCAGGGCAAAATCAGAATTTGACCTCCCAGGAGTTGCATCCGAACGGCCCCTTCCTTTCGCCCCCTCCCCCCCCTCCCCGCACCCTCCGTTCCAGCCCGCCCCGTCGCCAGCTCGCCGCGGCGCGCGCCCCTTCGGCCCGGCTCCCCGCCCACCTCACGCCTCGCATTTGGGTCGGGCATGCCCCTCTCTACAGGAGGAAGGTGCAAACATAGTGGAGAATGGCCTGGGGACGATTTGTCGACTAGGTTCGAGTATGCTCGACTATGTTTGGGATATGGATCGGCTATGTTTCATTTGTCGCCCAAAATCCGCCTGTAGGAGGACATGCCCGACCGAAGCCTCGCAGCAGAGGTCGGGGAGATGACCCCGCAGGGAATAACATCGTCACTTCGTGAGGTACAATCTCGGGGTCCCTTCCCGAGGTTGCCGACGCTCACGCGTCCGAGGCGAGTGGAACGGCTGCACGCACCAATCACAAAGCACAGTGCATCCAAGACGCCTCAACTGATGGCCATACCCTGAGGAAGTAGAGCACGGAATATAAGCGAGAGCGACCTGATGCAAGGCACTGCCCCAACAGGCCGAACACTTGTATCGCCCAATAGCGGAGTCCCAACAAGTCGCGTGTCATAGCAACACTCTCGCTAGTCAAAGAGAGAGCGGGGGCGGTAGAAAGAGTAAGCGGGACAAGCAGAAGGAAGACGGAAGCAAGGGAAAGGATGAGAGGGAAGTGCGAGGTAGCAAGAGGGAGGAGCGTACTGCCAAGTATGACGTACAGAAAGACCAAAAGAAGGAATGAGAGAGAGAGAGAGTGAGAGAGCGATAGAAGGGGGAGAAAGAAAAGGACTGAGACAGAGAGAGAGAGAGAGACAGAGAGAAAGAGAGAGAAAGAGAGAGAAAGAGAGACGCAGATGAAGGCGAAGATAGAGAGAGAGAGAGAAAACAGACAGACAGAGAGGCAGACAGAGAGAGGGAGGGACAGTGAGAGTGAGAGAGGGAACCAACAAACGAGAGGAAGAGAGACAGAGAGATCAACCAAAAACTAGAAAAGAGAGAGAGACAATGAGCAGGCCATATTGCTCGAAACACCAGCTGGGGTCCAGCGCCGACTGGACCAGTAGGGATAGAGTTCGCAAGCGGTCGCGTGCCTCCGCCCTTCGGGGCGGCGTGGAGGAGGAGGAGAAGGAGGAGGACGAGGAGGCGGAGGAGGACGAGGAGGAGGAGGCGCAGGAAGCTCGCCCCCTCCGCATGGCCGGGGGCGTCCAGGCGGGGGCCACCCGAGAGAGGGAAGGAGCACATCATGGCCCGAGGCCCGTGCGCAGCCTGCGGAGGGGCCAGGGGACGCATTGAAACGCGATCTTCCGGCCCCGGCCAGGACCCCCCCCCCAAACATCACATGAACCTCCTCGTGGACCGCACGACTGAAGGGGCCCCGGGACACACACAAGTAAACACACACAGATACAAGGATTCCCCAGATTTTCCCGTATCTTCTGGCGTATTGTCTTCCCCCCCCCCACTTCCCATATTTCCCCATATCTTCTGGGAATCGACGATTCCTTGCGTCTGTGTGTGTTTTTGTTGTGCCCTCCCGAACGACATGGGCGCGAGGGCGCTCCCGCTGCAACTGGGCAGGCTGCAGGGGTGGGACGGAGGACGGAGGGTCGGGAGCGTCCAAGAGGGGGGTGTCCAAGAGAGGGGGGGGGGTGCAAATCATGACTGGCGGCACACCGACAGCTGCCACAACAACCACAAGTCTGTGCTGTTTCCCACCCGACCCCGGGAGAGCAGAGACATACCCAGAGATCCACTGCATTGAACAGATCAAGACGGGAGGTTTTTCATTCTTTTCGTCCTCTAGGGGCCCTTACCGGGCCTCGGGACCGTCAAACGACTCAGGACGAAAAACCGGCCCCCGGGAAGGAGTCCAGACTTCTGGGGGTCGACGTCATGAAAAAACCATGCCGTCGGAGGTCTGGGTACAGGACGGTGAGAGAAAAAAATGCCCCCTCTTGATGAACAGTTTTCCACCACCACCACCACCATAAGTTGGAAGGGGGAAAGAGGAGGAGGAGGGCGAGGAAGAGGAGGAGTAGGAGGAGGAGGAGGAGGACCCCCTCCCCCTCCAACTTCTGGTGGTGGTGGTGGTGGAAAACAGGCCCATCACCCCTGGTGAAGAAGCGTTCCGCGGACTCCAAGGGAACTCCGAGCATCTCCGGCGGTCTCTCTGAAGATCCATAAGGGGACCAACCAACAGAATTCGACCGCCCACCCTCAACCGTTCTCTTCCTGCCACGGGGCCCCTTTGAAGTCCCAACCCAAACTCGGGGTCTGGGTTTTGGTCCCGAGCTGTCTTTTTGACAGCACAGCGAACGAAAAAAACAACGACGCCATGCACATAAACTTTCGGCGTTCCGCGCGGACTTCTTGATCTGCGCTGAACCCCCTCCCTGGCGCGCGGACCGCGCCAGGGGCGGCGCCGGAGGCGCCGCCGGGGGTGCCCAGCGCGGATCCAAGAAGTCCGCGCGGAGTACCAACAGGTCAAGTCTATGGCGTTTTTCTTTTTCGTCGGCAGAAGCAAAAACTTGCAAACACCGTCGGTTGTGACCTTGCGTGGCGCGAGGGGGGTCTGGGCCGAATATTCGCACCGCCGCCGCCCCAGACCCCTCCGGGGGTGCGTCCTGGCCCAGGGAAGGTGCCCGTGGGCACGAGGAGCACCCACGAAGGGCAACAAAAAACACCTCGCGAGGAGGTGCAGCAAGGGCCCGACCACAAGGAACCTTCCACAAGAAACCCAACCCTGAGACCCCAGGGCGTCCATCGATTGTCGGTGTGGGAACGTCGCGCTTTTCGCCGCAGAACCATCGAAACCCAAGAAACCCAGGGCACCCTGGAGGCAAGCAGGGTCTTCCTTGGCATGGGTTTCCACTGCATGGGCTCTGTTTGGATCCTCTCCCCTCCCCCCGTGGGCGGACGTTGAAGGGTGACCGGCTCGGGGGGGGAAAACATCGACCTCGAGTCGACGATGCGTCGCCGAAAGATCGGCGATATGCCCCCTGTAGCGAACCTGCTCGCTCCTGGGCGGGGTCAGCCACGAGGCCCCTATCGGCGATGAACGGGGGTCGCTGCATTCCCACCTGAAGCACTCCCCCCCCGAGCGTCGCCGCTGAAGGCATCCCCCCCCTCTGTTAGGACGGGCCTGTCCTACTGCAGGCGGACTTTGAACGAAAAACGGAAATAGCCATTAGAGTCATCAAACATATCGCTCGGACACACACACACACACAAAATTAGGCGACCGAAGAATCCCACATACTTGTATGATGGTTGGAGTGATGACCGCTGAAGTGATGCATGTGAGAATGATAGAGGTGGCCCTTCCTTGCGCACCCCCTGTGACGTCGAGAAAGTGCCACGCCTGTTGCGCCCTGGACGACCGGCTGGGATAGCGGCCGCGCCCAAAGACCACCACCTGCGGACCCCCTAAGGTTACGAGAATATGCCACGCCCGTTCCGCCTTGGACGACTCGCTCGGATACCGGCCGCTGACCGAGCGGCATCAGGTCGGCCTCGCCGCTGCGAAAATGATCCAGCCTTGCCGACGAGGATGCAATGTGCTCTCGACGCGGCAGGGACCCATGAAACTGGAGCAACGGGGAGGGCGGAGGCTGTTTCCAAAACGCATCGTCACCAAATAACTGGAATCGCCGGCCGTGGCAACCGAACGCTGAATCGGAGAGCTCAGCGTTTGCCCAGAACCGTTTCTCAAAACGCAGTCGGATGAAACATGGGACTCGCGTCGCCAAAGCATCCGTGCGAAACGACGCGCTTGCATGGATGGAAACATCCCGAGGCCTCCAAAGCTTGCAGAGGATCAGAGCCTGCAGCACGGCGTCGAAGTAGCACGTCTTTCCGAAGTTGGGCATGCACACGGAAGGCAGGTAGAGGCTCGACTGGTCGTCTGTAACGCAGGCAAAGAAATCGAATGCTCTTTCCTTTGCGAACAAAAATGGGGCCGCGCGGGCGTGGCTCAGCCTTCTGAAGTCCGCCCAAGCAGCGAGGACCTGCGTGATGCACTTGATCCAGACGGGGTCGGGGCGCGGGCCCTCCTGGTCAGCTGCGTGAAAGAACTCCACCGCGCCCAGCCGCTCGGCCAGAGCCGCCTGCCGCGCGGGGCGCACTGCAGTTTCCAGGTCGCGCAAAGAGTCAACGCCACGGTGCTTCGCGGCGGCGCGAAAAGTCCAACGCCAGGGGGCGACGTCGCTGACTCCCCTGTAGAACTAGGCACCGGCTCCCCCGAGAATGTTTGGCTGCAAGGCGAACGGTCCAAGGGTGGGAACATCCATTATGTAGGATCCATTATTGGTAGAGTATATGTAAAGCGCCCCCGACAAGTGGGCATCGTCGCCCCTCCTCGACGGTCGGCACTCTGGATCGGCAGATCTTTTAGCAGCGAACAGTGCGTACCATTTGACCGCCTTCGAATCCACTCTGGAGGACAAGCTCTCCACGGTGGTCGACTCTCGCAAGTCCCACGACCACGGCCCATGCGACCCGCGGCGGTCCGTCCCCACGAACGCTGGAGATGCCGCAATGCGAGGCGTGCCAGGTGGAGCGAACACAGGTGGCAAGCAGAACAGCTGGAGACCATTGAGGGGTGACGGCCTGCGTGGGCGGAGCCTTCGCTGGCGTGGTCTTCGCAGGCGTGGTCTTCATAGGAGTGGCATCTTTCCCTGAGGAAGGTGCCGGGTCAGCGCCCGCGATGACGCCGAACCATCGCTGGCGGCGAGGCGCCGGCCGCCACCTTCGCCCCAGGCAATCGGAAGAAAGGTCCTTCGGAAACCCGCCCGAAGAAGGGCTCAGCGAATACCCCACCAAATACTGCCCCCTGGCATCGTCGGCGCCTCGTTGACGCAGCAACTCAATTGTACCTGGTGAGGAGCGTCTCGGGCCACCAGTTTAGAAGCTGTCGCTGGAAAACATTAAATGCGTTGTGCACCAAGCAATTCGCATGCCTCTCAACACGCGCGCGTAAACCATCTAAACTCACTTCGGCGCCCATTTCGAGCATCGAGTTGTTGCGTTGCTCGCACGGAGGCGGCAGCGCGGCCATGGCACATTTGGGCATCATGACGGGCGCCGCACCTTAGACGAACCATAACCGGCGCGAACACGCCTGCGTGCGAACCGAACGGACTGAGCCGGCATGAGCCAGTGTGGCTACAAATGCTTGATGATAGCAACACTCTCCTCGCCAGCGTTCCCCTCTGCCCTGAGCACGACCGGCACGGATAGCAAACTTGCGTACCGATGTGCCCTGAGCACAACCGTCATGGATAGAGGCCGCGCGCAAGGACCACCCCGTGCGCACCCCCTGTGGTGTCGAGAATATGTCATGTCTGCTAGGCCCTGGACGACCGTCACGGACAGCAGCGCCTTGGACGACCGGCACGGATAGCGGCCGCGCTCACGGACCACCTCCTGCGCACCCCCTACTGCCATGCCCTGGACGACCAGCACGGATAGCGGCCGCGCTCAAGGTCCATCCCGCTCGCACCCCCCATGGTGTCGAAAAAGCCACGCCTGCTTCGCCCTGGACGACCGGCACGGATAGCGGCCGCGCTCAGGGACCACCCCGTACGCACACCCCACGGTGTCGAGAAAGCCCCACTCCTGCTATGCCCTGGACGACCGGCACGGATAGCGGCCGCGCTCAAGGACCACCCCGTGCGCACCCCCCAAATGCAACGCTTGCTACGCCCTGGACGACCAGCACGGATACTGGCCGCGCTCAGGGACCATCCCGCGCGCACCCCCCATGGTGTCGAGAAAGTGCCACTCCTGCCATGCCCTGAACGACCGGCACAAATAGCGGCCGCGCTCAGGGACCACCCCGCGCGCACCCCCCATGGTGCCGTGAAATGCCACGCGTGCTACGCCTTGGACGACCGGCACGGACAGCGGCCACGCTCCGGGACCACCCCGTGCGCACCCCCGATGGTGGCCGACATGCCACGCCTGCTAGGTTTTGCGACAGTGTCGTAGACATACACCGCGTTCAGGGACCACCCCCAACGCACCCCCTCTGGTGTCGAAAAAGTGCCATGCCTGCCGTGCCCTGCGCATCCTACACGTGCGATGTGTGTTTGGCGTGTGATGTGTATGTGTATGATGCGTGTGCGGCCGTATCGGGACGATTGCCTTATGCGGGTGCCTAATAAGTTGTGCATACGTATTGGGTGTATGATGCTATGAACACGCCTAGCGTGCACAAGCGTTGTATGGTGTATGTTGTGTGTGCGACTGTGTGCATGCGTGCGGCTGCATGTAGACGCGTGTCTGATGCACGTGCAGTGCATGTGGTGCGCGTGGGTGAAGGGAGCAAGGACGAGGAGGAGGAGGAGGAGGAGGAGAAAGGGAGAGGCGGGAGGTGAGGAAGAAACGGGTGCGACGCGGGCGGGGGAGAAAAAAAATGTGGGGAAAAAATTAATGGAGAAATCGCCCCCAAACTGTGTTTAACTATGTTTGAAAAATCCCTCCTGTCAACGGACATGCCCGACTGAACTAGAAGGAGCAAAAATCACATACACATAAACGTTCGGCGCTCCGCGCTGGCGCGCGGAGCGCGCCGCTGGGGGGGCCCAGGCGCGGATCCAAAGTTTCTGCTTCTGTGGTTTGTTCTTCTTCGACTAAACCTGCTGGAGAAAAGCCCCCTCGCCCCACCTCTCTCGCTGCAGCCCGCGCTGCTCCTCGCGCCGCAGCCGCAGCGCGAGGCACCGCCGGTCCAGCGACTCGAGCCACGCCTGCGAGGGCGCGGCTGGGCGGGGCGACCGCGACGGCGCCGACACGGGCGTGGAGTTCCTCTATCTCTACCTTTCTCTCTCTCTCTCTCTCTCTCTCTTTCTCTGCTTCAACAGTCTAACGATGAATCCCTCGAAGCAGCGCGCGTGGGAGAAGGAAAAGAGGGGGGAGGGGGAGAGGGCCACCCTCCGCCGCCGCCGCCGCCGCCTGGCCCGCGGCCTGCCTGGCCCACGGCCCCGGCGCCCGCCTGGCCCGCGGCCTGGGCGTCCCTGTCTCCCTGTCTCTCTCTTTCTCTTTTTCTCTCTTTCTCTGTCTCTCTCCTGGAACGAATAGGAGAGCGCGTCCCACGACTTGCAAAAGTGTCTACTCGCAAAGGACCTGGATCCAGCGCGGGGGGATCTACGATGTGCGTCGAAACAGGCACGTGCTTTTTTTGTTTTCCGGACGAGGCATTTTGCGAGCAGTGGAACGCGCTCGGTGTACGAAGACAGGACGAGGACAAACTCGGACCAGGTGGGGGATGCCTGTGACTACCTACCAGACCACCCGAACACAACCAGACGACCCGAAGTTGACCCGAATGTCGGGTTGGGGGGGGTTAGGGTTCCATGTTTTTTTTTTATTTTCCCCGACACCCCCTCACTGAAAATGGAGGGCTAATTGAGGTCTTCGGGTTGGGTTGAGGTGGTTTGGTGGGTGGTGAGTGTGTCGTGCGCCGCGGCCGTTCCAGAGCGTGCCAGAGAAAGCTCTGTATGATCATCGATCCCAGTCCTGGGCCCGCCCAGTCTCCCTGAAGGGATATCGACGGGTTGCCGATATACAGTGCAATCCGATCATGTGGATGAGCGGTAAGGTTAGGTCGGGCTCGTCCCCCTACAGGGGGACTTTGGGAGAAAAATAAAAAAAATACTCAAACAAAAAAAACTCGCGAGATGCTAAACAAAAATGGGAACAAAACAACTATGTTTGAACATCCCCCCTGCAGAGGGACAGACCCGACTTCAGCCTATAGAGTGCGACCCGATCATGTGGATGAGCGATAAGGGTGAAGACTCTTGGTCGACTACACGCAAGAGTGACCCTGGGTAAGAGTGACCTTTGGTGCGCGGCTTCTAGGGGACCGAGGGGGGACCAAACACAAGCGCGCAAGACGCTACTATCGCATCGCGTTTGGCGACTGGGGGAACCGATTGGGCCCGCACCAAAAGCACTCCGGGCACTCCGGCGAAAGGTCACTCTTACGTCTCGTCGACTTGGGCGCCCGAATCGAGGTCGAAGTTGGAAGCCGATCGTACACGGCGATGGGTCAGCATGGACCAGGAGGCAAAGCTTCGAGGGACTGGCCTTGGACCCGCCCTCACGACGAGCGCCTGGCCGCTGGAGGCTCAGCCTTGGCCCCTGCCCCAGAAGTGCCCCTTCCGGGGCCCCCCTGCTCCCACAGCGGAGACCTCCCCCATGGGGACCGACCACATGAGACTGGAGGATTGCGCCGCATCGCCAGTGCAACGCGTCGCTGATGCATTGGCGAGGTATCGGCGACGTCGGCGATACATTGGCAGCGTCGGCCTGGAGAACACCAGACTCCGCGTGGGCCCGCATCGCCGATGTGTCGGCGATGCGGCGCGATCCCCCGACCCGAAACGTCGGAGGCACCTCAGAAGGGAGCCTCGGATCGCACAAAGACTGGTGCCAGCGCCGTCACGCAGCGCAGATGCGGACGACATCACGGACACCTGTTCCCTCACACGGACATCCGAAAGAGAGACGTTTCGAATCTGGGCGCTGCTGCTAGACTTCGGCCGTTGGCGTGCCGCTGTCGGATGCCATGGGCCAGAGGCGAAACAGAGACCGCCGCCACCGAAAACTCATTGTGGGGAGCCGATTCCTGGGCGGTGGCATGCCCGAGCGTCACCCAGGTACTGAACGACGCTTTGGCGTGCCTTTACCCAGGGGTCGCCCCCCCCTCCAACGATGGGTCCCCGGCGGCGGTGAGAATAGAGGAAGAAAAAGCGACATAACATAATGTGTTGGAGGTCCGCGCGAATCTCTTGGATCTGCGCTGGACCCTCCTCCCGGGCGCGCGGAGCGCGCCAACGGGGCGCCAGAGGCGCCGCCGGGGGCGCCTGGCGCGAATCCAAGAAATCCGCGCGGAGCGCCAAACATTTATGTTTGTGCCGTGTTATTTCTTCTTCGAAAAAGGCGGGTCCAGGATGATGCACTGGCCCCCCCCCCGGGGAAGGGGTCGGGACCTCCTTGTCCATTGGTTCTGTGATCGTTCCCTTGAGCTGGGCTCGGCGGGGCTGGCGGGTGGACGTGTTTGTGAGCCTCTGAAGTAAACCACCGCAGGCCCTACCATTTACAAATTACGCAATGAGCCCGCCGCAGGCGCTGCTTTGTTTCGTTAAAGCAACGCGGGTGGGTCGCAACGTGGGCCGCGGATGGGTCGCAATTGGGTCGCGGGGTGGGTCGCGGGGCGAGGTGGGGGGCGGGTCGCGGGGTGGGTCGCGGGGTGGGTCGCGGGTGGTCGCTGCTGGGTCGCAGGGCGGGTCGCGGGTGGGTCGCGGGGGGGGCTACGCCAAACAACAACAACAACAACAACAACAACAATCATTTTACCCGAACGCTCAGTGTTCTCCCCAGTGCCAGGGTTTTCTTGCGACACCAGCCAATACCCCCACTTCGTGGGGGGGCCGTTCAAGCTCTACCAAATATCCAAACGACTCTTCGAGACCACCCACACCCAGCTTCCCGCCCTATGACGTTGGGACACTTCACTTCGTGGCGTGCGGACGACCCTGGCTACTACACTGGCGTGGGGTACACACCCACAGAGGTTGATCACATCTGTTACATATGATGTGGTACACGGTACACGTGAGATGGTACGCAGTGCCAAGATAGTTGGTCACATTTTTGGGGCAAATTCGTGGGGATGCGATTACAGAAGTACATGTGTTACACTGATGTTATACAGTCCCAAGGATGACGCATGCATTGCTCATAGACTCATGGCGCTATGATCCTAACTCTCAGTGCCCAACGCGCGCGTGCACAGCCAGACGGAGGGAGAGAAACACATGTATACAAGGTTCGTGGACCGCGAATGGATTTCGAGATTTTTCGGATGAGAAAGTAGTGCGTTTTCATATGTTTTCTGAACATCGCATCTTGAAATTATTGAAAACCCATTGTGTTTGGCAGGATTTCGACATGCGCGCGCGGCGGCCGCGCGCATGTGCACTTCGTCTCATTTTTTGCAAGGGATGGTGGCCCTCGCAGGCGCGCAACCGTTGTTGGAGAAGTTCAAAGCACCTGAAGAAGTAGCACGCAAAGACCCTTTTGACAGAAATGTTTAAAAAGTGGTGTGTTTCCTAGGAATCCGCAAGAGCGCGCGCGGCAGTGAGTTCGCGGGTGGTCGCTGCTGGGTCGCAGGGCGGGTCGCGGGTGGGTCGCGGGGGGGGCTACGCCAAACAACAACAACAACAACAACAACAACAACAACAACAACAACAACAACAACAACAACAACAACAATTACTAGCACGTGGGGACACTCCGTTCTCACCAGTGCCAGGGTTTTCATAGGAGGCGGGCAATACCCCCACTTTGTGGGGGGGCCGGTTCAAGCTCTACCAAATTTCCAAACGACTCTTCGCCACCACCCACACCCAGCTTCCCGCCCTATGACGTTCGGACACTTCACTTCGTGGCATGCGGACGACCGTGGCTACTATTCAGGGCCCCGCGGCCGACGACGACGGCGTGCGCGCGCGAAGAAAAAACGAATGTGTCCCGCATGGTATTATTTGACAGGGATGATGGCCCTGGCAGGTGCGCAACCGTTGTTGCAGAAGTTCGAAAAAGTTGCTCGCAAAAGCCCGTTTGACAGAAATGTTTAAAAAGTGTTGGGTTTCCTACGAATCCGCAAGAGCGCGCGGGATGAGATTTTGACAATTTTTTGTTGAAAAACCATTGGTTTTTTGATGTTTTTATGTTAAAATCGCTGCGAACACTAAGGTTTTGGAAGGATTTCGTCTTGCGCGCGCGAATGTCCACTTTACCTTATTTTTTGCAAGGGATTCTTGAAATTTGATTATATTAGAACAAGAAATGTCATTTTCTATTGTTTTTTGCAAGGGAAAGCGGATTACAACAAAACAACCGGATCCTGTACACACCCTCTTTTCTGAGGCTTCCTCACGAAAATGATGAAAATGTAGCTGCGGCCTAGGCGGCGCAGGGGGGGCGCGCACCAGGGGGCCCAACAATAATTATTCTTTAGAATAAATAATGTTCAACAACAACAACAACAACAACAACAAACAACAACAACAACAACAACAATTACTAGCACGTGGGGACACTCCGTTCTCACCAGTGCCAGGGTTTTCATAGGAGGCGGGCAATACCCCCACTTTGTGGGGGGGCCGGTTCAAGCTCTACCAAATTTCCAAACGACTCTTCGCCACCACCCACACCCAGCTTCCCGCCCTATGACGTTCGGACACTTCACTTCGTGGCATGCGGACGACCGTGGCTACTATTCAGGGCCCCGCGGCCGACGACGACGGCGTGCGCGCGCGAAGAAAAAACGAATGTGTCCCGCATGGTATTATTTGACAGGGATGATGGCCCTGGCAGGTGCGCAACCGTTGTTGCAGAAGTTCGCCAAAGTTGCTAGCAAAAGCCCGGTTTCCTAAGAATCCGCAAGAGCGCGCGGGATGAAATTTTGACAATTTTTGTTTGAAAAACCATTTTTTTTTTTTTTTTTTTTTTTTAAAAAAAAAAAAAAAAAAAAAAAAAAAAAAAAAATGTTTTTATGTTAGAAACGCTACGAAAACTAAGGTTTTGGAAGGATTTCGTCTTGCGCGCGCGAATGTCCACTTTACCTTATTTTTTGCAAGGGATTCTTGAAGTTTGGATATGTTAGAACAAGAAATGTCCACTTTAGCTTATTTTTTGCAAGGGAAAACCGATCGTAACAACACAACCGGATCACGAAAATGATGAAAACGTGGCTGCGGCCTAGGCGCGGCGGGGGGGGGCGCGCACCAGGGGCCCCAACAATAATTATTCTTAAGAAGAAATAATGTTCAACAACAACTACAACAACAACAACAACAGCAACAATCATTTTAAGACGGTTCGCTCTTAACTGCTCGCGCGTCATTCAATATTCATATCCCAAGCCCTGGATACCCGCCCTCTTCGTCTTCGATCGGACCCCCTTCTCGGGGGGTACATACATTCCCTGCCACGCGTGGTTGGTGGAACCCTTGAAAAAGAAGGGTGACAGATAACGAGGGGAAATGAAGGCGAAGGGATCGGAGGAAGGGGAGGGGCAAAAAGGAGGGAGGACGATGCTTTGCGCTGCGAGTGCCGATTCAGTTTGCGCCATGGCTTGAGCCAGCCACTCCAACACAGGTTAACAATAAGTGTCGCCATGGGTCGCGCCATAAACAGCGCCACGTACCAACCCCTTGAAAGAACAGATCGTGGATACCCCCACGGGGGGACGGACAGCTGCGAACTGGTGTCAGAAACAAAGATCGTGGAACCCAGAAAAGAAGCGGGATGTTGGGAGAGCGAGGCGGGAAGATAGTGAGAACTGCAACCGTGTCGGAAGCCCCAAGTGAGAGCGCGATTTTCAATAAATTGCGAGGACGTATCAAGCGGGGGCCGCGATCCAGTGGTAAATGGCAAAGAAATCCCGAGCGAGAGCGCCATTCTTCAATACATTGTGAGGAAGAGTCAGGCGGAAGCCGCTGTTGTTGTAAACCGGGGGCCAACGACACAGTTTAACCCTCAAGACTTGCCCTGATAAAAGAAGGTGCGAACCCTGGGAAGGGCACTTCAATCGAAAAAAAGATCTTCCGAAATGAGAGCTCAACCACAACAGCAAACATTTTAAGACTGGTCGCTCTTACTGGCACGCGTGTCTTGCATTCCGTATACCCCAACCCTCGACACCCGCCCACTCCGTCGTCGATTGTGCCCCCTTTCGGGGGGAATCGCTTCCTTGTCGGCCACTGACTGAGGCGTGAAGAAATCTCGAGCGAGAGCGCCGTTCCTGAGTTCGGGGGCCTCTTTGGCCAAGGGCTCTCGGAATACCTATTGAAAAAATCGAACGGGAGCCCTTGTCGCCGTGTCTGGGCCTCCACCGACTTGCCTGAATTACGGGGAAGTCTCGAGCGAGAGCGCCGATCCTGAGCTTGGGAGCCTTCTTGGCCAGGGGCTCCCGGAATAAATCGTGAGGAAGCATCGAGCAGGAGCCCACGTCGTCGTGGCTGGGCCTCCGCCAACTTAATGGAATTGCGAGGAAGTCTCAAACGTGAGCGCCATTCCTGACTTCGGGGGCCTCTCTGGCCAGGGTTTCCCGGGTAACTTGTGAGGATATTTTGAATGGGAGCCGTTGTTGTCGTAGCTGGGCCTCCAAAGGCCCGCAGTTAGGTCCAAGCCAACGCTCGAGCCCGAGCCTCGCTTCCAGAGAACATGTAGCCGGCGTGAAGGCGAGAGCGCGCGGAACCGCTTCCGGATATCAAACAAAATTATGTTTTAGAAATGAATATTCAGCACCAACAACAACAGCAGCAGCAGCAGCAGCGACAACAGCCAACACCAGCAACAACACCAACACCAACACCAACAACAACAACAACAACAACAACAACAACAACGACAACAACAACAACAACAACAACAACAGCAGCAGCAGCAACAACAACAACAACAACAACAACAACAACAACAACAACAACAACAACAACAACAACAACGACAACGACAACGACAACGACAACGACAACAACAACATCAACATCATCAACAACAACAGCAGCAGCAACAACAACAGCAACAGCAACAGCAACAGCAACAGCAACAGCAATCATTTTAAGACTGTTCGCTCTTGTCTGCCCGAGTGTCCGTGAACGCGTATTTCCCAGACCCTCGATACCCGCCCTCTTCGTCTGCGATCATACCCCTTTTGGGGGGTGAACCTTTCTTCCCTGCAGGCCGGGCCCCGGCAAGCGGCGGGGCGGCCGCGGACCGTCGGCATGGCCAGCGGCAGAGCTGATCGGCGGCAACCCGACCCCAAGAGGGACGGACAGGGGACCGACCACGACGACTGCGACGACGACGACGACGTCGACGTCGACGACGACGACGACGACGGCGACGACGACGACGACGAGCGAAAGCGAGAGCGAGAGAGAGAACGACGACAGCGGGGCCACCAATGTCAGGAAGTAGGCCACGAAGGGCGACAGCGGGGACACGAAGGGAATGCGTATGGGGCCACGAAGAGCGCGAACGAGCGGGGACCACGAAGGGCAGATAATGCGGGGCCACCTAAGGCAACGACGGGGCCACTTAGGGTAGCAACTGGGCCACGTAGGACAGCGAGGGGGCCACCAAGGGCGACAGCGGGGCCACGAAGGGCATGCACATGGAGCCACGACGGGCGCGAACAAGCGGGGGCCACGAAGGGCATACATACATCTGGGCCGCGGAGGGCAAAAGACGGGCCACTGAGGGCTGCAACGGGGCCACGAAGGGCAGCGAGGGGGGCCACAAAGGGGTGCAACGGGGCCACGAAGGACATGCCTATGGGGCCACGACGGGCGCGAACGAGCGGGGGCCATGAAGGGCATACATAGATGGGGCCACGAAGGGCAGCGAGGGGGCCACAAAGGGGTGCAACGGGGCCACGAAGGGCAGCGAGGGGGCCACGAAGGGCTGCAACGGGGCCACGAAGGGCAGCGAGGGGTCCACGAAGGGCTGCAACGGAGACACGAAGGGCAGCGAGGGGTCCACGAAGGGGTGCAACGGGGCCACGAAGGGCAGCGAGGGGGCCTCGAAGGGGTGCAACGGGGTCACGAAGGGCAGCGAGGGGACCACGAAGGGCTGCAACGGGGCTTCGAAGGGCAGCGAGGGGGCCGCGAAGGACTGCAACGAGTCCACGAAGAGCAGCGAGGGAGCCACGACTGCAACGGGGCCACAAAAGGCAGGGAGATCCCGATTCCTAAATAATCTGCGAGGGAGTCCTAAGCGTGAGCGCGACTCCTGGGTGCCTGAGTGTTGGGAGCGCGTCGCTGGAGTAATTTGCGGGTAATTCCAACGCAAGGTCGCTATTCGTACATTGATTGCAAGCAAGTCTCCAGCGAGAGCAGTGCGACCCTACCTAGAAGTTGGAGCCCCTAGGAAAGCAGCATTAGTTTCTATGATATGTTATGCCATGTTATGCCATACCATGCTGCGCTATGCTATGATATGGTATACTATGTTATGCTATGAGATGCTATGATATGCTATGACATGCCGCGCTATGTTATGATATGATATGGTATGATATGATATGCTAAGCTATGCTATGTCATGTTGCACTGTGCTACGCTAAGCTATAATATGATATGCTATACTATGCTAAGCTGCGCTATGCGATGCTATGGTATGAGATGATATGGTATGATATGATATGCTATGCTATGCTGTGCCATGCTATGATAGGCTACGATATGCTATGTTATGATGTGCTCTGTCATGCTAAAGCTCAGCGAAGCTAAGATGAAGGTAAGCTAAGCCAAGATAATACTGAGCTAAGATGAAGCTCAGCTAAGCTAAGATGACAGAAGCTAAGCTCAGATGAGATAAGCAACGCTAAGCTAAGGGGACGTATCTGGGGGAACCGCGGGGCGGATACCGGGGCAACCGCCCGGCTCAACCTCCGACCGCACAGATCTGGCGGGGCGGTCTGCGCAGACCGGGGCGGCGCGCCTCGCCCGGGAGGGCCTCGCGGGCGGCGGCCCTCCGCTTGCGGCCGCGGGCGGCGCCCCTCTGCGGCGCCCGCGCGCGGGGGGGGAACCGCGACGACGCCGACGACGCCGACGGCACCGACGACGACGACGACGACGACGCCGACGACGCCGCCGCCGCCGCCGCCGACGACGACGACGAAAAGGACGCCGACGCCGACGCCGACGCCGACGCCGACGCCGACGACGCCGACGACGACGCCGACGACGACGACGTTGCTGCCGCGCGCGGGAGCCAGGCACCCCTCCCGCCCTGCCCGCGACTCCTCCCCCTCCCTGGCGTTGCCCGTCGCTCGTGGGCAGCTAGGGGGACAAAAAGTGACACAAACATTATCCCAGTGCGACCCTACCTAGGAGTTGGAACCCCTAGGAAAGCAGCATTAGTAGTAACAGTAACGCTAAGCTAAAGCTAAGCGAAAGATAAGCTAAAGCTAAGCTAAAGCGAAGCTAAAGCTAAGCTAAAGCTAAGCTGATGCTAAGCTAAAGCTACGCTACAGCTAAGCTCAAGCTAAGCTAAAGCTAAGCTAAACGCTAAGCGAAAAGCTAAGCGAAACGCTACGCGAAACGCTAAGCTACAGCTAAGCTACAGCTAAGCTTAAGCTAAGCTAAAGCTAAGCTAAAGCTAAAGCTAAAGCTCCCAGGGGACTGGGGGGAACCGCTCCTAAGGGACTGGGGGAACCGCCCGGGGCGCTTAGCACTGCCCGGCCCCTTTAAGCTAAGAGAGTAAGAACCCTTCTAGGCAGAGCCTAGGTAGGGAATAAAAACTCGGAGGTCCGCGCGGATTTCTCGGATCGGCGCTGGGGCCCCCCGGCGGCGCCTCCAGCGCCGCCCCTGTCGCGCTCAGCGCACCAGGGAGGGGGTTCCAGCGCCGATCCGAGAAATCCGCGCGGACCTCCGAGTTCTTATGTCTATGTCACTTTTTGTTCCCCTAGCAGCGCAGCCTGGTGAA